CCCCAAAACCCCAAAACCCCAAAACCCCAAAACCCCAAGGGATTTATAATTAATTGTAAATTTAAATGGATTCAAAAATGTCTGTTTCTGAGTTCGAAGAAAATAATGAAGGGACTCAGCAACGTAAATCTTATTTTAGAGTCTTTTCACATATTTCATAGAGAATTTAAATGATTCATTCTAATTTTGACTATATAGCAAAAGAAGAGATAAACCCATTTGATGAGGCACTTTTTATCAAACTTGATGGTAAGCTGGGGATTTAAATTCAATTTTGAAACCAAAAGATTAGCGCTGATTACATTATAAACATTCTCCTGCAGGGATTTGATAATTTATTAACAATTATAGGAGATTATGGCTCAAAATCTCCATTTCGAAAGGTGAGAAGTCCTGATAAGGTTGATCTTGATGATGAGAAAGTTCCTCCACTTGTTCAACTTGACTTAAGATTTGACCTCCTGAGGGCATTTCTTGAGCAAATGCAGAAGGCTGTCAATCAGCATGCTGAAATTATCAATAATGTCCAAAAAGAGGTGAAATACAGGTGCACTGAGAGCTCAATGGCTGATTACCTTGAAAGAATAGCTAGTGGTCTCCATAAGGACTGTGGTGAACGCTCTTATAATCTCAGACTCAATGATGATCTTGCTAATAAGCATCACCAAACTGAAGAAAGTCCTAATTTCAAAAGAGCTGTTGATAAACTTATGGGCAAAATGGAAGTCGTCTCAGCTCATTTGCTAAAAACAATTAAGGTAAACTTTGTAGATTAAACTTTAGAACCAAAGCAAGACTGATAAGCGCCTTACGAAAATTGAAAAGGAAATTGTACAAATCCAATCTGACCACATCAGCAAGTAAGCTCCCCAATATGACACCTTAGGTCTGACTTTGACTCTGAAAAGAGAAGAATGCAGAGTGAACTATTCGATTACCTAAATGATAACTTGGATAAATTTAAAAACACTCTTGAAGGTATGGCTTCTTAGATGACTTTTAGATCATGCCCAAGACCTTGAGAATAAGAAAAATCAATGAGATAATGCAATCAAAGAAAACGAGACCAAGACTTTATGGAAAATAAAAGACTGAGAAGGTAAAATCCCCTCTAATTTTGTAGAGCTCCTTCAGAAGAGAGTGAGTGAGACCTTTGTGAATGATTCAATCTCTTTGCTCGAGAGCAAACTTAGCAACAAGATTGATAAAGGACACAAAAGAGCCATCTCCCAGGCGCTTCTCAAGGCAGAAGAGAAGGTTGACAATAAGATGGCTAATTTTGAGAAACTTACCCAACAAGAGTTTAATTCATATAAGAGGACACTTGCTTATCATGACAATGAAATTTCTAAGAGAATCACTACAGGCGACCTCAAGCCTGTGAATGACTCTATCAAAGAAGTTAGAAATGGATTTGAGAAAGAAATGGAATCGATGATGGAACATATCAACAAGTTCTCAGAATATGGAAGAAGAATCGCTTCCATTGAATCCTTAACCAAAAACATCTCTGGGCCCGTCCTGCAGGATGGCAGCTCTGTCAATGGGAAAGGAGAAGGAGCCACATCTGAGTATAACGCTGAGCTTAGCATTAAGAACAAGATGGTTGACGACAAGCTCAAGAACTTGACTGCTGCTTGCGATGCTCTAAAGTCTGACTTAGAAAACAAAGCTGAGGTTAGTGAAATGATCAAGATTGAAAATACAAAAGTTTCGAAAGATGAACTCCTTGCTCTTCTTCCTTCGGAGGAATCTAAGGATGTCCTGAAGGAAGAATTCAAGAACGAAATCGCATATTTCCACAAATCTATTGACGAACTAGCTAGAGCTTGGGACCTTAAACTTGTCAAATTGAGGAAGGAAATTGACTTGTTCACCATAAAGAAAGAAATAGGTAAAAGAGCTCTTATTGAAGAAGTCAAGCATGACTTTCATGTCATCCAAGCCAAATGCAGCAAGGTCGAACATCTGGTTAGCAACTTCTCATTTGAAATCGATGGGTTCAAGGACTTTATCAAAAGAGTTAGCAAGAATATTTCAGAGCTCCAGGATGTCAACCGAGATGTCCTAGTTGGGAATAAGAACGTGAACTGACTTTCTTGTGGAAGAGGCGACAAGAAATTTATACCAACAATGCCTCTGATTAAAGGACAAGATGGAAGAGGGGTTTATAAAGGAAGTGTTACGAAGGGATACAACACTAGACTGGACAGGTCAATCACAGACGCAGAAATTTTAGACAACAAGTTCTTCACAAATAGGAGGGAGAATAGTCCTCCAAAGGTGAACCAGTCTCATACTCAAAGTCGGAAGAAGTTCTCTAAGCCATCTTCTGGACTTCCTAGGAGACGTTGCACCACTGCATTATCAAGGAAGTCTAATTCTCAGACTGGAGTCAGGAGAAACTACAAGAATCCGTCTGAATCTCAGAACATGGATGATTCAAATGTGTATAAAGACGCAAACACTTATGAGCAAGTTAGCTAAGCTTTCAATAATCCATAACAAAATTGGGGTTTTGGGGTTTTGGGGTTTTGGGG